TATAGCAATATTATCGGACTAATAAGGTTTGTTTAATTTTTTACAGTACAAATAGGCGGTGGTGCTGAGCGTCTTACACCGCAGCACACTCGAGAAGAAATACCGTTGGAAGAAGAATTCTCACAAAATTCCATCGGCGAACAACGTCATCATCATCATCATCATCATCATCATCAGCTCGAGGAAAACGATCGGGATCGTCATCGCCGACAGGAGGAGGAGGTTAGAGATAATTTCACTTTTATAGAATTAAGGGCGGAAAACTCGCGTCGATTTAGGAATTTCGCGTTACTAGGGAGAGAGGCAACTTTCGCGACCGCAACCCGAGGGTACTGATATCGTTCGTTGGATAGAAAACGCATTCCGTGAAATTAGGATGTATGCGCTACATTCGTGCGAACCGAACGATTACGTAAGATTATCGTTCGAGTCGGCGGATCTAGCGCGCGATCCGGCGGGTCTATCGTTTCGTCCAGCACGCTTAACTCACGAGGACATATGGCAACTCGTGAGTTCGTTGGCGCAAAGAGTCGGAGGGTTCGATATCGTAGAAAATTTTACCGTACGCGTTTTTAAAGTCCCGGTACCCTCAGGTCGCGGACGTCAATCTAATAGATTGACTCGTAAAGACATAGCCAAACGCTCGATTTTACAAATAAATAACACAGACAATTTGTGTTTTCCCCGTTCGATCGTAGTGGTTCGCACATATCAAGAGCGAGGGCAACTGCGTACGGGGGAATTGCAAGAAAAATGGGAATCCGTGAAATACCAGCGTTCTTCGTTACAGCGTAAGCTGGCCGAAGAATTAACGAAATCCGCTGGTATCACAATTCCCGAGGAAGGCTGTGGTATTCGTGAAATCGAGCAATTCCAACCGATTCTTTCGCTTCCGAAATATTGCTATTGTATAATGGTATATAATTTTAGTACTTTCGGTCGAGGCGAGAATCCGATGTATGACGGCTACTCGTTACTTTCCTCCCTAGGTCGCGAATCCTCGTGCTGTTTAAACATAATGTATTACAAGGGCTCGCGACATTATAACCCTATACTAAATTTAAAAGCCGCCGCCGGTTCTCGTGGAGGATATTGCGTAGCGTGCAACGTGGGCTTTCGTAACGACCGAGGGCATCGATGCACAAAAAAATGCCCACGTTGCTACGCCACCCCGTCTTGCGAGTTCCTCGACGTTGAGATGATTAAGTGCAATTCGTGTGCTCGCGTCTTCTTCGGGCGTCCATGTTTCGATCGTCATCGAACGCAGGGATCGTATAATCAATCCCTCTCAAGCGTTTGCGAATCCATTAAAATTTGCAACGGTTGCGGGCGATTGATTAATTCAAAATCGCGACACGATTGCGACGTAATTTATTGTAAAACGTGCCGTTCGTTACGGTCTTCGAATCATTTGTGTTACATGCGGCCTCTTTGTCGTAAAGCCACAGTAGAAAACCCTGGAGAGGGTACAAGTACTATGGCGTTGCGAGAAGAAAATCCGCAAACAAATACGAATGACGCCGAAGACGCGGACGAGCGTGTTAAAAAAGATCGCGTCGCATTCGTGTTTTATGATTTCGAAACGCGGCAAGACGAAACGCTCGAAGGAACGGAGAACGTAAGAATTCACGTTCCAACTCTCTGCGTCGCGCAACAAATTTGCGAAGCGTGCGCGGAAATAGAGACCATGTCTTTGCGATGTCGTTGGTGTGGAGTGCGCGAATTCGTATTTAGTAGAGACCCCGTAAAAGAGTTTGTCGATTTCGCGACGCGCTCATCTAAATATTTTAAAAAATTTATCTGCATCGCGCATAATGCTAAAGCATTTGACGCTCAATTTATTTTAAAGTACATCGTTGAAAAGTCGGGAATAACGGAAGAACCTCGGGTGATTTTGAACGGGACGAAAATTATCGTTATGACGATTGGACGTACAAAATTTATCGATAGCTCTAATTATATACCTATGCGATTATCGGAGTTACCCAAGGCTTTCGGGCTGCAGGATACACTGGGCAAAGGTTTTTTTCCTCATTTGTTTAATACGTCGAACAATCAAAATTATATTGGTCCAATACCCGATGCACGGTATTATTCGCCCGAGCAAATGAAACCCGAGGAACACGAGCGTTTTATGGTTTGGCACGAGGAAATGTCGCGTTCGAATTTCGATTTTAATTTTAAACAAGAAATAATAAAATATTGTCGGAATGACGTAGATATCCTTCGACGCGCGTGCATGGCGTTCAGAAGAATCTTTTTAGAACGCGGAGACGTGTGTCCGTTCGCAGAATGCACGACTATCGCTTCAACGTGTATGAAAGTTTTTCGTAAAAACTTTTTACGCGAGGAAGAAATAGGAATCATTCCACCGGGCGGATATAGATATAAAGATAATCACTCGCACAAAGCCCTGCAGTGGCTAGTGTGGATGGAGCGCGAGCTCGGGCATCCTATAATCCATGCAGGGCGAGGCCGCGAGTATCGAATTGCCGGTACGCCCGTCGATGGATATTACGAAGTCGAATCGGAGAACGAGACGTCGCGTTACGTGTTACAATTTCACGGATGTTTTTGGCACGGTTGTCCCAGCTGTTATCAAATCAATCGCGAAAGAAAACTTACGTCCGGGATGTCGCGCGAAGATACAATCGACGCACGATACGAACGAACTCTCGCAATGACATGGCGTCTTCGACAACGAGGATATAGGGTGATAGAGAAATGGGAGTGTGAATTTTCATGAGAAAAGCGCGAAAATCACGAAATGCGCGCTTTTCTCGAAAATCATCCGATATTGATCAACCATCCTTTCGATCCTCGCGAGGCGTTCTTTGGCGGTCGCACGGAAAATATCGTAACTCGATACGAAGTTACAGGTACGGAGAAAATACGCTACGTGGACGTGTGTTCTCTGTATCCGTACGTATTAAAAACAGGTACTTTTCCGTTAGGCCAGCCAACGATTTATATCGGAGAACAGTGTTCGGAGCTGATAGGCGCAGCTCCGAATTTTAATTTCGATTGTGTCGAGGGTATCATTCGGTGCACAGTACTTCCTCCACGCGATCTTTTTCACCCTGTACTCCCGTACCGCGTACAAGGCAAATTGTTGTTCGGGCTGTGCCGCAGTTGCTGCGAAACGTTCTCGCAGGCCGAGTGCACTCACGATCTCCCCGCCGATCGTGAATTCGTAGGAGCGTGGGTATCCTGCGAATTGCGCAAAGCTCTCGAGAAAGGTTATCTCGTAACGAACGTGAGCGAAATATGGCAGTTTAGAGTCACGCGGTTCGATCCTCGTACGAGGCAGGGTGGTTTGATTGCCGAATATATCAATAGTTTTTTTAAATTAAAGCAGGAAGCTTGCGGATGGCTGAGCGAATGCCTGGATGACGAGAGTAAGGAACAGTACCTTCGGGAATATGAAAAAACCGAAGGTATTGTTCTCGATAAAAATAATATCGCCCGAAATCCTGGTTTACGTTCGGTCGCAAAGCTCTGCCTGAATTCTTTCTGGGGTAAATTCGGCCAACGAACCAATCCGCCTAAGACAGAGATCGTAAAAAAATACGATCGTTTGGCGGCGTTGCTCACGAGTTCAGAGCACGAAATAACCAATATATTACCTGTCAACGACGAGGTAATATATGTTTCGTGGCGACTACGCGAAGAGACGGTCGCTCCTTCCGCGCAAACCAACCCGGTGATCGCGGCTTGGACGACGGCACAAGCGCGACTAACATTATATAAATATTTAGAGAAGTTAGGTAGTCGCGTTTTGTATTGCGATACAGACTCGTGTATCTATGTAAACAGAGGCGAACAGAGCGAGTACGAGCCGCGTACGGGAAATTTTCTGGGCGATATGACGGACGAGCTCGAGAGCTACGGTCGGGGCAGTTTTATCGAGTCGTTCGTGTCCGGAGGCCCGAAATTCTACGCGTACGTCGTTCGTACACCGGAAGGTCGTCGACACGAGATCTGTAAAGTTAAGGGCATTACGTTAAATTATAAGAACTCTCGTATTATAAATTTTAATAGTATTAGGAAATTAATAATAGATAATGAAAGAGAAAGACGCGATGAAGAAGAAGAAGAAACGGGGAGAGTAGCGATAAATTTGCGTTTTAACGCAATCCGTCGCACGGCGTTTCACGGAATCGTAACGCGAAACGAAACGAAGACGTGCGCACCGGTATTGGTAAAACGTAAATTTATCGATAATCGTTATTCCCTTCCGTATGGCTTCAGAAGAGAATAACGTCTTCTTCTTCTTCTTCTTCTTCTTCTTCTTCTTCTTCTCTTTCTCTCACTTATATTTTAAGCTCGCGAGTTTTCCGCTTATTCGCGTAGTATTTAAGCATTATGTGAGAGAAACATAAATTTAAGTTTTTTGTAAATAATAAATAGTCCAAGTATCCCTCTTTTTTACGAAAAATTTTTTCATTTTATTAAAAATGTATCAAATAATTTAATGTAAAATGTAAAATATAAAAATGTAAATATTTAATTATAATAAAAAATGTATTATATTGTTTCAAAAAATAATTGAATTTTATGTAAGATAATTTTATATAAGAGTTAGCAAAAATATAAACAAAAAAATTTAAATTACATATGTTTCCTTTTTCTCCTCTCCTCTTTTTTTTTTGAGAAAAATATCGAATAAAAACATTTTTTACTCGAAGGAAAAAAAACAGAAGTGATTTATTACTTATTTCTAACCAACCTTTCCTATTTCGTCGAAAAGCTTTCCCCCTCGCAGAGACATCGCGGTAGCGGTAGCATCGGTAGGCTTATCGATGTCGCGTACTCGTTTAACGTTAGAAATATACGCCGATCGCAAATCTCTTTGACGCGCGCGAAGATAAGCTCATGCGCGTCGCACCGCGGCGAGATCAGCTTTTCGTCAGCCGCGGTGCTCTCCGCTGACAAGCTCACGCGGGGGTACGCTGGCGCGAGCACTCGTCCGCCGCGAAGGGGCCCCCGTCGGCGCGTTGATCAGCTTATCTTCTCTTAAAATTATTTTTTCACGCGCTCTAGAAATCAACGAAAACGACGTTTTTCCTTTTTTGCTTTTTGAAGTCGCGCGCGAAGATCGTTTGCTCATTTCGCAAAATGGACGTGCGTTGGAAACATCCTTGGACATCGATCGTATGCGGTCCGACTGGCTGCGGAAAGACGGTCTTCGTGAAGGCTTTTCTCAGGCATTTATCTCTCATGTCCGACGTGTGCTTCGAGAGAATTTTGTTTTATTACGCTGAATGGCAAGAAGCCTATCGTCGATTACAATACGATACGCGTGTAAAAGAACAGCCCTGGGGTTGCAGCGATACTAAAACGGCGAGGAAGAAGAATATAATTGAATTTCGCGAGGGATTACCCCGTCCGGAAGATTACTCGAACGATCCGCTTTCTCCGAAATTAGTGATAATCGACGATCTTATGAGAGAATCGTCGTCGTGCGACGCGATCGTGGATCTTTTTACCAAAGGCAGTCATCACAAGAATCTCAGTGTTATTCTTATCTCGCAGAATCTATTCCACCAGGGGCGTGGACAGCGCGATATATCGCTTAACGCGAATTACATCGTCGTTTTCAAAAATCCACGTGATCGTGCTCAAATTCGTCATTTAGCGCGTCAAGTCTATCCCGACGATCCGAAATTTCTAGAAGAGGCGTACTACGACGCCACATCGAGGCCTCACGGGTATTTGTTGCTCGATCTGAAACAATCGACTCCGGACGAGTATCGATTTCGAACGTGTATTTTTCCCGAGGATACGTATCATTACGTCTACGTGCCGCGTAGATCGTTTTCCAACGGTTACGTATAAAAGTTGAGTACGACTAATCGCGTGTATCAGTCGTAGATTTTTCTCACGATGAGGCTGGCTGACGCGAAATCGCACAGAGCGACGAAAATCGCCACACATTCGATCGGTAAGAGAAACGCCTGTCTCCTCGCGGCGCTCTATCATTTGAACAAAAATCAACGCACAACCTTCTTGCGTAGCGCTGACGAAAAACTAATTCGCTGCATCTGTGAATGTGTTTTCAATACACTCAAAGGTAACGTCTCGCTCGAACGGCGTGAAAAAAATCGGTTAACCAAATACAAAAAAGCTCTGCGCCACGTCGTTGCAAAACGCGGTAATTGGAAGGATAGAAGAAAGCTGTTGGTGCAGCGAGGCGGATTTTTACCCTATATTATCGGACCTATATTATCGACCTTATTATCGTTAATTATCGAAGGAACGAAATAGTAGAGATAAAACGTTATGGAGAGGGCCAAAAAAATGGTTTTAATTTCGACGGAAAATCTGGAGAGAATGCAGCAGCAGCATCAGCTACGTCGGAATCCGACATCGTTCGTCGACGGAGAGTCAAAAGGAATAGCAGTATCGCAAAATTCGGATAACACCTTGAGCTCTAATAACACATCGCAAACCCCGGGAACTCGTCTAACGCGACTCGACGCGGAGATGAGTCGTATTCTCAATTCCAGATGGCCTCGCGACGAAAGCGAGAGGTGGAAAATGTACAAAGAGGCATTATGGAGATACCTACGGTTTATCCGAGAAGCGCGAAGACAGAAAGACGTACGTAACGAAAACGAAAATGCGGAAGACAACGTTACACGAGATGCCTCCGATGATAACGAGAGCGATGACGTTTTTTACGATCTCACGCGAACATCCGATATACCAGCGCCATCACATTCCAACAGTAGTAACGCAGATATTACAGTGAAAAATTTCGAAATTTCGAGCGAGCATAATCGTATGATGAAAAGCATCGAGGAAATAATGGAAAGCGTACCGAAATCTTATCGTAATCATGCACACTTACTGCTGAAACATTTGCTTCGAAAAGCTCCGCCCGATAAACTTAGTTGGGACGAGCACGGAATCGTGACTATAGATGGTAACGTCGTGAAAGATTCGAATATCGCTGACTTAATAAACGAAGCAATGCGCGAGAGAAAAACCGTGAAAGCAGTGGGTAGAAATCAGTTTGCACGATTACTCCGTGTGCTGAACATACCTTCTGCACTGGTGAGAAATAAAAGTTTATTGTCCGCGCACGCGGATGCTGTAAACATCGTAAAACTTCGACCGCGCGCGAGTTCCACGCCTGTTACATCGAAAGTGCAAGTTCCACATCGATCGTATCGAGAGTCCGAGGAAGGAGAAAAACGTAAAAATTACGAACAAGAAATAGTCGTGGAAAGCTCGCTGATTCTTTATCGCAAACGAAAAACTGATACCCCCGTATCTTTGCAAACAGGGAAAAGCCGGTTGCTCGATTGGAAAAAATTGAGATAACGATGTCGTTTGAAAAACTATACTACGATCCGTCGAATTATGCGAGTTATTCGGCGGTGGATAATCTAACTCGCGCCGTTAAACCGAATTTCTCACGGGGAGAAGTCGTACGCTGGCTCGAATCGCAAGACGCGTACACGTTGCACAGGCCATTGCACAGAAAATTTCCAAGATTGCATTACAACGTGACAAACATCGACGATGTGTGGGAGGCAGATTTGATCGAACTGCGAAATCTAAAAAGTTACAACGACGGTTATTCCTATCTGTTAGTAATTATCGATGTATTAAGCAAATATGTCTGGGTAGAACCGCTACGTGACAAAACGAGCAACAGCGTGATAAAAACTTTTCAACGCATACTAGCAAAAAGCGAAGGACGAGTACCTGTATACTTACAAACGGACAAAGGTAAAGAATTTGTCGCGCACCCAATGCAAAAATTCCTTAAAGAAAACGATATTCGTTTTCGAGTAACACGCAATCCGGACATTAAAGCCGCCGTTGTCGAGCGCTTCAACAGAACACTGAAGGAGCGAATGTGGCGTTATTTCACGCATAAAAATACGCGACATTACGTCGATGTTCTACAGGACATTGTACGTGATTACAATCACACGCGTCACACGTCCACAAGATGCAACCCGCGATAGTAACGAGAGAAAACGCTCGTATCACACGTGAAAATATATCACGTTGGAAAAACAACATATTAAAGAAACGAACGCGAAAGATTAAATATCGCGTTGGAGATCTCGTTCGTATCAGTAGGGCGAAAGCAGCCTTCGAGAAAGGTTACGAGGCTAAATGGAGCGAGGAAATATTTCAAATTTATCGTATTCTCGATTGGCGAATTCCTCACGTGTACGAGCTACGAGATTTAGCAGACGAAGTCATAGACGGTATTTTTTATGAGCAAGAATTAGCACGAGTTGAGAAGAACCTAGAGGAAGAATAATTTATCGTTGATCAGCGTGATAAAGAGTAGAGGGCGAGGAGCTAATAAACAAGTGCTAGTTAACTGGCGCGGTTATCCCAGTAAGTTTGATACTTGGATTCCGGTATCGAGTTTAATTTCTCTTCGCGATGGAGGAGGAACAATTTCTTCTGGTACTCCCGAGTAACAGTAGTATGCGCCATTTTCCTAATAATACAAAGTTGTCCTTCATCACGGAATTGCCTTATAGTGTTGCATGGAGAATGGGAGGTTGCGATAAGTGAGATTCAATTTCCTTGCACCTTTTTATACGTACGTCAGAACGAAAATGTGATCAGATTCATCGACGTTAAACCCGATGAGGAAACAAATGGCCCGCAAAGAAGCTTTACGGAAAAGAAGCTCCATTTCCAAATGGAATTTACAACGATATCCACGAGCTTATTAAGGCGATTAATATCGCTTGTAAAGAGGCCGAGTCGCATTTTTATTTCGAACAGCAAAGCGCGTCTGGCGGCAAAGTCTACATAAGTATTAACTGCGACGAAAAATGCAAATTGTTGCATCATATAAACTTTTCCGATAATCTTCTACGAATGCTAGGTTTCTCAGCAGCAATTTCCAATAAAAATGAATTGCATTCCAGGCTCTCGATAACCTAATTCCAATGAGACAGAAGAGAAAATTTTTCTTACTCATGGATTTAATAAGAAGACGGGGCAGCGACATATAGTCGGTTATTGGAGTAGCGAACCCTATAGTTTGTGGCGTGCTATCCCTGATAAAATGTTCGTATATTGCGATATTTGTGCGCCTTATATAACAGGCAATGTGCGTACTCCTCTTCTCAGAATAGTACCGATCGAGATACGCAGTCATAATTACGCATTTGGTGCAAATTTGGTGAAGCATTTCTCATTTCCAAATTATATCCCCTTGCAGCGAACAAATTTCAGAACGATCGAAATAGATATAAGAGATCATCTTGGAAATAA